GTTGATATATCACAAGTCTTGGAGTAACATGGTGTACTGATGTTACAAAGATTACAGACTGCAAGTTGATATATCACAAGTCTTGGAGTAACATGGTGTACTGATGTTACAAAGATTACAGACTGCAAGATAATATAATCACAAGTCTTGGATTAAGATAGTGTATTTAATGCAGCACACATGCAAAGTGTTGGATGTTACATTTGGCTCAAGTCTCCATATATAACAACAAAAATGTTTGTTATAAATTGTTCTTGTGAAACATCAAGAGATTGTACTTTAAATACAAATAATATTTAAACTAGTTATAAAGTTAGACTGGATTCCATTAAATCCTATCAATAATACAAATAACTACTATTTCCTTCATACATACAAATGATTGATTTTCTTAGCTAATCTTCTACATGGCACCTTATCAAAAGCTTTTTATCAAATCTAAGTAAACCAAGTTCACATCATTTCCATTACCCAAATAACATCTTCCATTACTTTTGCAATAGGACTAATGCACTAATATTAATGAATATACAAATCTGAGGAAATTATGTAGATTTTATGCATAATTACTTCCAAAACTAATGTTCATTCCACTACAGACTGCTAGGAAAAGATAATAATGTTGTTATTTTTGAAATTACGTGGGAGATAGAAGGCAAGAAAAGAAACATTTAACATTATTGTATACTGTATAACAGCAGTGTCAGTGATTTAGAGGATCCAAATTTATACATGTTATCCCAGAACTGCACATTAACTGTTTGAATTCTACTGGAGATAAAAGTATTGTAAAGCATATTTAAAAAATGGTCAATTTACAATGGTACAGTGACTAAAGAAATTTAAATAATATTTCCAACCAGCAGTTAGCTCTTTGTATAAGACTTAACCAAGTGGACTGACCATAGGAACTATGAATATATCTATACATACTAGTTCTCTGAATTTACTATGTGTATTTCCATGAAAAAGTCAGACTTTTTAACTCTCTCACTTCGGGTGTCCTTTATTGCACATGACACAAGGTTTTAGAGTCTTACATTCAAAATTATATGAAACTACTTTTTGTTTATGTTATACCAATTAATATAGCATAAAACTAACTAATAACCCATATTTTAGTAGTATATAAGTTTTAAGATCTTAATTTTATAAGGCAATATTTAAAGAAATCCTGAATTTCCCCTTGTGTGACTCACAAGATACA